ATAAACAAGAAAAGACTCGAAACAAAGCAAATGGTTAGTCCACTTCACATTCAAATGTTTTACTTCAGGGATTTCTCAACACGATGTAGAATACAAGTGTTTCAAACCCGTTTCAAAATTTTAGTTTTAAACCCATGTTTTAAAATTAGACTTGGGGTATTTTCAACTCCTGATTTCAATTCCTGATGCCAGCTTTCATAGTCTTCCAGATTTTCACTGGCACAGGGAGGAGAAGCCAATTTCCCTATCTCTGAAATAAGCATGAGAAGTATTTGGTTACCCCATGCACCTTTTTCAGTGGCTATCAAATGATATTATGACTGCAGTATCTCCAGTGAGGGCCCTCCAGCCTAGAGACTGGGAACTGGGACTGCTTGGCAAAGTTGTAAATGTTCCTTGTCTCCCACTGCATGAGCTAGACTTCTTGGTAGAGAGAATAATTTCCACCCCCAGACCTCAAAGTTTTATTTTCCAGCAACCTGGTGGGCAAATATCATCTGAACTTACAGTTTTGGGATTAATTAAATTACTTCATTAAAAAGTGGCTGGTTGGTGCTGCACGGAGTTGTTGTCCTCCACCCCTCCCGCCCGCCCCCTCCTTCCAACCTGTCCTGGAAATAAGCTCTCTCTACAGCTCTATAGATAGCAAATGCCTTCAGACACGCTTAATCGTTACCACCAAGTACAAAACCTGCCTGCTCTTAACAGTGAAGCATAAGAAAGTCCAGAGAAGTCCTTAGAGCTGACACAGCCACGGGAGGTAGGAGGCAGGGAACTGGATGGTTTTGTGAAGGAAGGAGAAAGCAGGATAAAAAAGGGGAAGGTACTGGCAAATTAGGCAAAATAGGTCCTAGCTCAAGATTATGTATTTTACAGTATAGCAACATGGAGCACTGCAGGGAATGTACACCTCATTAGTGGTGCAGGTTCATTCTCATAATTTCTAGTACCATGTGAAATCTCCAGTGGTGATACCCCAGTGCTATCACCAGGTTCATAACCTGTTTATTTTGTACCTTGCATGCTATAAAATGCAAATAGATATTGGTTTAGCTGCCAGGAGTAAGTCTTTGTCACCTTTAAGAACATCAGCGCTCTGTTGAGATTTGGCTTTTATCTGCAAATGTTTTATGAGATCTCTGACTTCTTCCCAGATCTCAGCATGCGCTGCTTGCTGTGAAATGCCCGCAAACGCTCTGCGTGAGCGGTGAGTGCAATGTCTGGTGTGCAATGCCTGCTGCACTAACACTGACATACAAGCCTAATTAATCTCTTGGGCAGTCTCAAGAGCCAGCCACGTGGTCTAGAGCCCATCTAACACTGGTGTGAAAACCCCCAGAGACTGGCAGATGACCATTTAGGAGCCAGGGCTCGAAGGCTCAGGCTCGCATGCATAGAGAAGTAAAGCTGCATTGCTTACAAAAAGTCTGGAGACAGCACTGAGGTATAGATTCCTGAAGTTACTACCTCAGGTGTGTGTGGTTTGGTTTTTAATCCTTCATAGACAATCTCACTTGGATCTACTCACTCTAAACAGGAAAGTTAGATATACTTCAGTGGTCATTCCTAGCTATTTCCCTGACCATTTGACTTATGAATTCTGCAAGATAAACTACTTCAAAATAATGCCATGGAAAATAATAACAACAAAATAATCTGTTGATAGTGCACTCTGTATATGTTTCCTTCTTCAACATAATTTAATCTAAATTTAATTTAAAATGCTGTGTAGTTCACATTCATTTAAAATAAATAGGACATTTCCGTCAGCCTACCCTATTAGTAATGTGGTTGTGGTAATAACATACAGCCACGTTGTACACCAATTACAGGATGCTGTTAGCTTTCTTGTTTATATGGTACTAAAGTCCTACACCATTGAAACAAGTCCCTGACCTCTTACAACATCAATAACAGGGGTACTTTGCACTCATACAGCACCTTTCATCTCAGAGTGCTTCTGACACATGAATTTTCATTACATCTACATACAGGTAGGTGTCTAGGCACACTTCAAAGGCAGGGAAACTGTGCCATGGAAAGGTTACACAACTTGGCACAAAGCCCTGGTGAACAGCTGGGAATGTGAACTCTCCCATTACTTGTTTTGAACGTCCAGACAATAATGCTTACCCCAAAACCAAGCTTCATAAGGCATTAATCAAAATGTTTAACCCCCTACCAAGTTTGCAAATGGCATGGGCAGACAATAAGCTCACTAATTCTTTTTGATACATTATTCAGGACTTGTTCTCCTTTTCTGGCAACTTTCTTTTTTTAAGTAAAAAAAAAAAAAACAACAACAAAACCAGTCAAAAAACCTCCAATCAAATACAAGAAAAAACAGCAATTACTGCAAAATATTTTGGAATCCAAAACACTTAGCATTTCCTTTATGGCCCATCTGTTGGATCTCAAACATTACAACATGGGCAATGCATGGCAAGTTCTCTGCAGGGACCAGAGCACCTGAGTGCCCTCTGGAGTAAGAGGTAGCAGGGCTGTGCTTGCTCAGTTTTAGTTTCCAAGGGCCCACAAGCCACTGAACACCACGGATGCACACATAAGTTCTGTTGGCACGCTAAACTGGCCAACAGCTACCGACAGTGACACAAACTAATGATCCATGGGCTGGCTACGTGATAGCTACAAAGTTAAAAAAAAACCCAAACAAAAAACCCGTACTAGTGTTCCTTCCCATTGATAATTACTGCACTACTGGACTACTGCAAACAGACCTTGAGATCGAAACACTGCTCTCTGCCTGGCTTTTGCCACCTCATGAGCATCAGAAAGAGCTCCCAGCCATGCCTGCAAACTGTATTTAGCACTGCCTAGGGCTGAGTCCGGGCTTCTGACAAAGTTAGTGAATTCATGCCCACCTCAGCTTTCTCCCTTGGTAAAAATGCTGATGCAAATGCACATTTATGTTACAAGTCAGGCCACCAGGATATATGTCAGGAGCTCTGGAACTGTGTTAAAAAGAAAAACTGATGTGGGTGGTGACGGATTTTTGAGCCCACGGAGTAGCAACGCTGTTATTTGTTGTTTGAGTTGCTTCAGTTTCCTGATTTCCATGTAGGTAAGGCTGGTAAAAAACTATCTTTCCAGCCTCTGGTCCTGAAATAAGCTGGAGTTCTAGCAGGCTGGATTTCTCCCTTTTCAATTAAATATCTCCCCACGCAGCCATCTGAGACGAGGGATAAACCCAACTCTCCTGAAAACCCAATCCTATGACTTGGCTATCAAACAAAACACATTTTCTAAGATATTTTTGTCCCTAACACTGTCAAAGTTGTTAAAGTGTTTACATGTATCATTCACAGATTCACATCCCTCCTGTGTCACTGGTACCCAGCCAGACAGAAGGACCCTCGCTTATAAAATCACTTGCAAATTTTGAAATCCTGGTTCAGAGCACACTGAAGCCATGGGGATGTTTTTTTATAGGCTGACATTTACCTTGAATTGAGCTGACCTTGTACGAAGCAAACTGTATGAATGCACCTGTCATATTCAGTTTGCTGAGTGCACGGCTTTCAATTTAACTTCTACTATATGCTATTAACATGGCATAATTATTAGCATTTAAATCTCCATTTCCTTTGTCATTTCTATATTTAGATTTGCCTTCCCTCTCCCCCCCCTCAGTATGCTTAAAGAAGACTGACTTAGTAGGAAAGCATATAGTTGTTAGACAAGGATGGAATTGTATTTTTTAGTATTACAGTTTATTTAAAGGACTAGGAATCAAAATGCGATTGACACAGCCATGACAAACATATGATTAATGTTAGCTATTTTTTCCCACTGTAGTATTTTTCCTTTCACTTTCTGCTTTACAAGTGCTTGAAGGTACCCACTAATTTTCCGATATCTTTGCTCAAGAAGCACAGGAGCAAGTGTCTATTCTTCTTAGCCAAACTGAGTGACTTAGGACAAGGATAAAGCTATATGGGGTGCAATACTTAGTGTGGCTGCCCAGCTTAACACTTGCAAGTAAGTAGTAGTGTATGCCACCCTACTAAAAATGTAATGACAGGTCCCATATAGTGCAGCCTAACACAAGACAGGACCTGGATTGTCATAAATACTAAAACGCGAGAGCAGAGATTCCCCCACGCCCCAGTGCAGGGGCAAACGAGCACTAGCTGGGGCAGGGGAGTGGGTACATCAAGCCTTGAACATGTTCTCGGTGCAAACGCAGCAAGCGGGGATTGGGAGGACGAAATGGGGTGGCTGCATGTCAGGGGGATAGGCTGACAGCGGGCTCGGATACAGCGGGCTATCTTCTCGGTGCCTGTGCCAGGGGACAGCCTTAGGTCACCAACACCGCTGGAGAACTGCAGCAGTGCCGAGGAGCATAGAGCACCGGCGGGGGCAGGGGTGCAGCCGGAGGTTCACCTGCCCGGAGGGTGCGGAGCGGCTCCCCGGGGGATGCCGCGCTCCTCCCGCCTGCCGCGGCGGGGGCTCTCGGCGGCGGGGCCGAACCGCTGCGGCAGCGGCAGCGCCGCGGGGCGGGGGGGCCGCGGCTCCGCTCCGGCAGCGGGCGGCGGCAGCCGGGCCGCCCGCCCCGCTCCAGCCGCCGAGCCGCGCTGCACTGCGCTAGGGGCTGCTGCACCTGAGCGCCCGTGTCAGCGCGGGGATAAAGCACTGCCAGCCCCCGGCCAACGCATTATGTAATTTCAGATTATATAATGCTGAAATGAGAGGGGGAAAGATTCCTCAAAACAACCCAAACCCTGCCATCCTTCCCCGGGCATCTCCTGGGACGCGGTGGGGGGCAGCCCGTGGTCTCGGGCGGCCGCCGGGGCAGGCACGCCGGCACAGGGGCCGCAGTCCCCGCCCGGCGCGATGAGCCGGGGCAGGATGGCTCGGCACGGCTCGGCTCGGCTCTCCGTCCCTTGCCTTCCCGGCGGAGGCACCGACAGCGCCAGCCCGGCGCTGCGGGAGGGCGGGCGGGAGGGAGAGGGTAGCTTCCCGGAGAGGCGCTGCCTTACCTGCTCCCCGAAGTCGATGGCGATGTTGGTGATGCCGAGAGGGACCAGGAACCGGATCAGGGGCCAGTAGTTAGTGAGCGCTGGAAATTTCACCATAGTCCCAGCTGCGCGGTGACCCGCGGCGCATCTGCCGCGGCAGGAGACGGCGCGGGAGGACGGCGGGGGGAAGGATGAAAGGGCACCGGAGGAGGGTGCGTGCGTGTCCCTGTGCGTGTGTGCGGGCGGGGAGGGGGTGGGGGGGAGATAAGGGAGAGGGAGAGGAGCAGCAGAGCCCCCTAAAAATAAAGAGCCGGGGAGCGGGCGGGGGGCCGGTCCGGTCCCTCCCTGCCCGGCGCGGCGCTGGCTGGGCGGCGGGGCGCGCTGTGCTGCCGCCTTAGCAGGAGACCCGAGAGATCAAGTCCATCCCCGCCGCCCTCCTCCCACACAACAATGATCCGCCGCCGCTGCCGCCGCCGCCGCCGCTGCCGGAAAAAAAAAGAGGAGGGACACCGCCGCCAGCCACTCGTGCGGGCAGCGCTGCCATCCTCGGGGCGCAGGGGCCAGGGGAAGGGCCGGGCCGGGCCCCCCCCCGCCTGACGCTCGCCGGCGGCGGGGCGACGGCCGCGGCGCCGCGCAGGAAAACACCGCCCTCCTTCTCGTCCTCCTCCTCCTCCTCCTCCTCCCCGCCGCCGCTGCGGGGACGGCGCAGGCCGCGGTGCGGCGCGGCAGCCGGCGGCGGTGCCCGTGCGGAGCGGCGCGGGGCCGGCGGCGGTGCGGGCCGTGCGGGGCCGGCGGCGGGGCCCGGCCGCGGGGCGCCGCTCCAGGCTGCGCGGGCTGGCGGAGCACGTGGGTTTGACACACGCTCGCAGACGGGTGGCGGCGGCGGCGGCGGGGGAAAGAGCGGCACCGAGCGGCTCCTCCCGACGCCGGAGCGGCCGCGCCGCGCCCCCCGCCCGCGGCCGTGGCGGGGCCGCGCCGGGCTCGGCACCTGTCCGCACCCCTTCACTCCGCCGGGTCCCGGTGGGCGCCCTGGGCTTCCCCCATCCGCACGCCCGCCGCCCTCATCGTGCAGCCGGGGGAACGGGAAGGCGTTCCCGGGCCGTGGGCTTCGGGCCTCGGGCAGCGGCACTCGTGCAGCTGCAGGAAGGGTGGGAGTCCTCAACACGGCGTCAGCCAGCGTGTCTGACCCACAGCTCTTCCGGTCAAAACCCTGAAATAAAAAAATCTTGAACGTTTGGCAGTGTAACATCTTCATCTTTCAAGATCTCTGCCCTTGCTCTGGGCAAGGGAATGTGCTTGTGGCCCAAGGGAGCTTGCAGGAGGGCCCTCACTGCCTGGGGCACCGGCTGCCTTCTGAGCCGGGGCTGTGGCAAGCCACAAGGTTTTGCCAGTCTAAGGGTGGGAGAAAGATGAGATGGCAACCCCCGTCTGAATAACTTGCAGAAATTTCTCAACATTTTCAAAATTGCAGGATGGTTTCATTGTAATTGGGTTTTGCTGGGTCATTTAGGTTTGTGGTGTTATCTTCACCTTGCCCCCTTCAAGGAGAGTTGGCAAATATTTTGGGAAGGTGGGAACCGTATGAGGAGTCAAATACCTGTATGTGATCGTCAGAGGACCAGTGGCCAGCAGAGGAGCCTCGCTCTCCCAAAGACAACTGTATTAAAATGTTCCTGTGACCAAGCACCATTCCACGTATTTGGAGAGTCAACAGGAGAAGAGCTCTGAAAATCCCTGCTAGGCAAATGACAAGCTGTGGGGTGGGGCTGGAGAAAAGGAGTCCCTGATTCCTGAGGTGTTTTGGCAAAGTCAGCCCCAGTTGTGCTGGAGGTTTTTTCCCTCCTACAGCTGGAGTTTATCTCACCTATCAGCCCTTGAGCTGGAGCAGCCATCGTTGTGAGGCACAGAAGAGCAAACTCAAATGCTTACAAGACAGCAAACCTGCCTTTATCATCTAGATCACTTACAATGCCACAGGCATGGTGTCCTGGAGTGAGGCAGAGAAAAACAGGAGAGGACCATGAACTGAGAAGAGGGAAGCAGAAGGTGTTTGTGATTGCCTAAGAGTGTCTTTGGGTTAACAGCACCAAAACTTCATCAGCATAAGGGAGAGCTAATCATCTCCAGATGGAGCAGTGGTTCATCCATTGGACATCTTTGACCCGTGTCCAGTGAGAGGGAACATTTACCCTCCAGCCAACCCAACCAAAGCTGGACTTGAAGGAGGAACTCTTAGAGATGCAGAGGCCTTACACCATCTGCCTTGTTTTACTTGTTTGCTTGCACTGAGCTGAATTCCCTGCCAGTTTAGGCAGAGCCTTTATGTACACTTAGATGTAAATTGCAGGTCATTTTCTTTGAAGGAAGCCTTGTGCCTTTCGAACTCAAAGCTGGATATATATTGAAGCATTAATTCAATATTACATTCTTTCTTCCTAAAAATGTGTGTGGTTTTAGATAACTATATTGCCAGTAACTAATTTCTTCCTGTCAGGACTAGATTTTATTGCCATTGAGCTCATTCCTCCCTGCCATGGGTCTGAGACCAGCTTATAGATGAAATTATGGAAGAATATTTTTAAAACTCTATGTTTTAAAATGCTTTCTTTGTGAAGTGTGCCTCTTATTTCAGTTTAGAGAGATTCTTTATTTAAGGGAAAGAAACCTTTAGTGCTGTTTTTGAGTCAGAGAAAAGTAAAAGGGAATCCCCAAAGCCACTTGTAAATATATGATTTTAAGTTGCCATTTGAAAATTCCAGATGAGCTGATGTTTGAGAACTACCTCCTCTAATTCCTGGCAAAAACAAGCCACCCCAAAATTAAAGCTTCTTGAATCAAAACATTTGGACACTGTGTGTCTCACAGTGCAAACTATAAAGAATTCATAGTGATTATTTGTCCCAAAGTCATGTTCAGTCCTGGAAATACTGAGAAACTCAAGTACTTTATGCAGTATAAGAGAAGTTTATAAATTTGGGGGGTTTTTATGTGTTCATAAGGTGGTAGTTTTTTAATTCCACCAGATAATGAATCACGCCCCTTACATCTTTAATTCATTTCCATCTGGTTGGTCACTTGAGGGCTGTGGTTAATTTTTTATCTTCCTGCTGCTCAAAGCAGTACAGTTTTATTTTAAGAGTAGTTTTACATTTTACCTCCTCACATGTACTGGAATGTCCTGGGCAAGTGTTAACATAACTGATGCTTTCTTGAATTTAAAATAATATTTTAAAATCATTAGACCTACTTAATAAAGTGTTAGACAATGTTTTAGGTTTGTCTTTCTGCTTCCCATTCATGTCTTCTTTTTCTGTGCTGACTGTAGTTTTGTGTGCCTCTCTGTCAGGCCAGGTCATATTTGTTCCTTGAATTCATTACAAAAACAAAGCTGTGTTTGCAGCCAAAGAACAAGGATGGTTTCTCACATCTTGAAGTCAGTAGTTTGCTCAGCTGATGAGCTGAGGAAATAGGTCATTTTAGCTGTATTGGGCAAAAAGCAGTGATTAGTAATCATTTCCTTTCTAACATATTTTCTGTTACACTACATTTCTTACTCATATACCAAACACTGTCTGTTTGTTTAATGGAATAAAAAAGACAGAGAGGACAGCAGGAAATAATTAGCCATAATCTCACTGCTTTTTACAGAAAAATCATCTGGTCCGGGAGTATCTCAAATGGAGCCATCTCACTGGAGAAGTCCACATGAATAGAGTGCAGTGCTGCAATGTGTTACAGTGTAGAAGTGATGAAAGGTGTCACAAAACTCCCCTGTGCCTGGTAATGAAATGTAATTGCTGCTTAAGCAATGGGGGCAAAGCCTGAAGGTGTCCCCAGTAGCAGAATGAATCAGGACATTACTTTTACTCACACAGTCAGAAATCCAACATGCAGATCAGCACATGGGCTTTAATATGTTAGAGACCCAGCGCTGTCCTGAGCTTAAAGGAGGCCTCTTACCACAAATACATGGTGGGAATCTTGAAAGGACCCTGCTGTGCTATTGCTTTACTTCAGAACCATGCCTCTTTTTTCCTTGTTGAGGTTACTGCTAATTACCTGCCAGAGAAAACAGGTCTTGGGTTTTTTGAATCACTGCACTTGGGCTTTCCATCTCTATTTGGCTGTTTAGTTGTCATCCCTTCTTTTGGGAGCTACTCGGTTTCTTTCAAACCTTTTCTTCTAGATAGGATTCTTTTTCTTATGATCTGGTGATTTAAAATCACTCATTGTATAATAAACTCAAACCAGCAAGTAACAAAATTTGTCAGTCAGTCATCCCATAAGAGGACAGATGAGCTGGATTTCCCAGCCTAAAGAATGGCCAGTGATTCTGGTCCCTGAATGGCCTTGGGCTTGGAGAGAGCCAATGATGACTGTCTTTTCCTGTCTGTTATCAGATGAAGTGGAAGGACATATCTGCAGTCATATTCTGCTTCTGTCTTGAGTTATTCCTCCCCCAGCAACAGCTGCCTCTTGCACATTTAACTTTTAAGTTGGAACTGAGTCTGATGCACATTTCCAGCTCTTTACACCACAGTAGTTAAAACAGTAAGATATTTAAAATTTAAAATTTATGTAATTTAAAAATGTTGTCAAACTATGACTGGTTGTTATTGAAGGAATGATCAGAATTTGAGTCTTCTGCACAAAATGGAAAAATACTCTTTCCCATTTAGTGTTGAGGAATAAAAACAAAGAAATTCTTCCATACGCTAATTTTTCTGAGAGTCTGACCAGACACACAGTTGTAAGGACCCAACTGAAGATCCCCTTCTTTTCCTGGACCTGAGTTCTGCAGAAAGCCTGTTTCTAGTGTCTCTTTTCCTGCAAAGGACAGGACAAAGGAGAGCTAGAGGCACAACACTTTCTCTTACCCAGGGGTCAGCGAAGCCTGAATCACTACAGTCACTGTCAGCTGTGCAGAAGGCCTTTACCTCAAAGGGTTAATGGAACTCTCCTTGTCTCACTCCTTGTGCATCAGCCTTAGGATCAAGGGGCACTAGGTTCTTGGGTTGTGTGCCTGGCCATGGCTTCTAGGCTGTTGCAGTTCATGACTGGAAAGACTACAGAAATGCTGCAGGAAAAGAATATTTATGTAGCATTTTATTCTGTGAATTGGTAGGGTTGAATTGAACAATCAGAAAACAGCCAAAGGAATTGGGTTGTCAGTCAGACAAGTGT